GTACTTGGCTTGATCAAACTCTACAATAAGAGTTTCGACGGTTGTTCCAGTGAGATGAACATCAGATTGCACCACCACTTCATCGTCAGAGAAGTTAGTCCCCAGCAGAGTCGTCATCTTTTGTTTGATGAAAAATTTGTAGTAAAAAGAATGAAAGAAACTTTATTTGTATTCTCTCGATCTCAATTACAATTTGGATTTCTGATTACAAAAGAGAGTAGAATTGATCTGAATTATCCCCTTTGTTTAAATCTGGGTTCTTTACGGTAGCGATGAGATGCCTCCCTTGAATGCTTACGTCGAGTTTGCTTCTTGTTGACGATCCGAACGTCTTGTTTCACTGGAACAATTAGAGAACTCTTCATGAGTTTTATGACTCAGAACGAGTGCAAAAATCTGTCAAAAGAGTTGTTTAACCGAATAATCGGTTAATACGCCAAGTATATGAATTCTTTGTTACTGAAGAATGCCTTCCAAGCCCCAGCCCTTGATCTCGACTTTTGGATGTTTGATCTCCAAAACTCTAGCCGAAAGAATCCTCCTCAGATCATAATAATCTGATCCCTTCACTCTGGGGAGTTTATTGGGATTTATAGAGAGATTAGGGGTGTAACTGCCCCTTTAATCCTCTCCTAAATAGGGGTTTAGTTGCCCCATTAATCGGGTGTAACAACCCACTCAAACCACTCCCAGATCATGGGTGAAAAACGATTTTGGGAACTGTTTGGATCACGGTTGAACGAGTCCAATCAATGATTTACGTTCTGGGCATGAACCTGCGTTCAAACTCATGCTTTTGGATGATGCGTTAGCGTCTGAGTTTGAGCTGCGTCCGCAGTTGAATCGGTACCGCGTTTATGTCGCGTTCCGCTGATGAAAACACTGCGTTTATGTTGTGTTTGAGTTGCGTTGGAAGCTAAAGATGTAGTGATTGCGTTGCTTTGACTCTGGAATGTAATCAGTTGTATTTCAACTTTGGGATGCAGGGAGGAATTACGCACTTCGATTTGAAGAAGTTGTTGACTTGTAATCTCTTCTTAATCTGCAGGAGAATCCTCCAATTGTAGCCTTCCTTTGTTGACATGAAAGTCGTTTGATGGTAACCTTCTTAGCCAAAACTGTTGATTGATGTTTGACAGGGGTCAACTATTTATTGTGATTTTTAGACAGCCTACAAGTGCCCTCGTGTGTAACCTCCAGGGTGTGCCAGATTTCCTGCACAGTAGAATAATGAGATATGCAATTAAATTCAGTACGATCTAAAGCACATATAATGGCATTCATTGCTTTATTATTTAAAGAATATAACTTTTTATCATCTATGTCACACTTATCCTCTAGTTTCACAATGTCTGTGTCCTGAATACGTGTAACAGGTGGTGTGCAACCTTTAAAGACTATATCCCACACTTCAAAGTCAACTGACGCTAAGTAGATTCTCATTCTAGCTTTCCAGTAAGCATAATCTGTCCCATTAAATGGGTGGCCAAGCAGTTGACTGTCCCTTGGTAAAAGCACTATCATTAGTATGCATGATAATTCTAGGCTTTCCTAATCTCGAATCAGAATATGATCAAGAGTCTGAACTAGGCTCTGATACCACTTGTTGGATCGAATAATAGCCTAGAAGACATAGCATTTTAAACAACCAATTTATATGGCTATGACCAATTTATAAATTTTCAATTTAGCCAAACAACCAAGAAGATATATTAAATCACAAATGCAAGCAGTTATAATAAGTAGAAAGTAATGCAGAATGTAAAGCACACACAGATGTACCTAGGTTCGGCCCCCATGCCTACATCCTACAACCAGAATCACTAGCAAAACAGTTTCACCACACCTTACACCCAGTAAGATTGGATACCCACCGCAATCGTCCTACCCGGCACGATTCGATGGTTATCACCACTATGTAAACTGAATCTACTAACAATTCCCATGAACTACAACTCCATAGTCTGCAACCCAACCTAAAACAGATCTAGAGTTCAAAATAAGTGAAAAAGACAATACAGATCGACAACGAATAAAATAAAAGGAACAAAGTTTTAGAGATGCTCAATGTTGTACTTATCACATAGATCTGGAATTTTATGAAGTAGCACTCACTGTAAAACTAATATTGGTGCGTCCGGCTCTGAGTCTACTTCACACAGCTTCTAACAGATGGTAAAACGGAGATTTTTACGAATTTCTACGAATTTTTGAGCGAAGCCTGTGCAAGGAGGAGGATCTGCATATTCTGCAGTATTCTGCTCAAGGATGTCGCATTGATCTGGAATTTTCTAAAGTATTACTCACTATAAAACTAGCATTGGCTCGTCAGACTCTGAGTCTACTTCGTACAGCTTCTGACGGATCATAAAACGGAGATTTCTACCAATTTCTACGAATTGTTTAGCGAAGCCTGCGCAAGGAGGAGGATCTGCGTATTCTGCTGTATTCTGCACAAGGATGTCACGTCGATCAGGAATTTTCTAAAGTATTACTCACTATAAAAATGGTATTTACGCATCCATCTCTGAGTCTACTTCGTATATCTTCTGAAGGGTTGCAAAACGGAGATTTCTACGAATTTCTACGAATTTTTGAGTGAAGCCTGCGCAAGGAGGAGGAACTGCGAATTCTACTGTAATTTTCTGTATTTTTGCGTTCATATGTTTTTCCTGCCGTCATTAACAGCCTTTAAGTAGGCTTTGCTAACCCTAATCTGCTTAGGTTTAATTCTGTCCCTTGGATATGACATGTGGCATAATCTGGGACTATAGAAAAGTCAAGACACCCATAGAAACTCTGCACACGTACTGGTATAGGACTCTGTATTTGTACCATTTTTTCTGCACCCCATATACCACGTGGCACGCAATTATTCGTTGAAATATCCTCCCTCAGAAATATTGTAAAATAATTTTTCTTGGGCTTTGGAAATAGTATATATATATATAAATACTTGCGTATCTATATACTATTTATTAATTAACAATATAACAAAATATTTATTAATATATTTTTATATATAAATATACGAACATATACGTATATATATATATATACAATCTTTTTCCGTTCAACTTGCAACCTACACAACTTAACACACAGATCAGAACATTCATAGGGGTTTGTTATTATCAAACAAGGTTCACAGACGGTCATAGCCAACACCCTTAAAAACACCGCTGAGCAAGACAATTATAAATTATAAATAATAAATAATACGCATTAATTTTCATTAAAAAAAACTCGTAAAGAACATGAAAATGTAAAGAAGCATAACTAAAAAAATGAACAACATATTGATGTCACTTACTAGTGAAGTAAGTCATATGAATGATGTACACATCTATATACTTCTTCTTGAGGACTTTCCTCTAGTAAGTCGTATGAATGATGTGCACATCTATACACTTATTCTTGAGCTCCTTTGCATACCAAGCTTTAGAGACATTAATCTAGATTCCAAATTGCGATTGCATTTTGTTTTGAATATTAGTAGGACAAATATTGGGATGACTCTTTAAAAAAGACTGAAAAAAAAGTTGAAATTCATTTGAGCGATACTCTTGAATGACCTACATTATTCATATGTTGACCACCCATGTGTTGAGGAACATATGTCTTGATGGAAAAAGTGGATGTGTGAGTCTTTGGTGAGGCGTGCAACTTCCATACGTAGTTCGTCTCCTTCTTATGCTTACCAACAACTGTAATTCTAGTCTTTTTGTTCTTCTTAAACTTATAAGAGAACTTTTTGGCAATCGAAAAATATATAAGTGTTAGTCTAACCTCTTTAGCACTTTCAAATTGTTTCCCAATTCTAGTAATTGCCTTGTCCCGTCATGCTGAAATCCGAATAGTATCATTAACCATGTCGTTTAACCATCCAAACATGATTTCTATTTGGATTGTCATTGGGAATTCTACCCGACACCATATTATTTTCTTTTCCTGAGAGTTTATCCTCTGCACGCTATGTGGTACAACATAAATACAGATTAAAAATATTGATTGGATCATTTTTATTTCAACATGTTACAATAAGTAATTGTAGGTCACCGAAAAACATAAAGTAAAGCACTTATCTCACAATTATGCTTATGAAAGATGAAAATCAACCAGAAAAAAATAACAGGGAGCAATACAAAAAGGAGTGTGAGGTGGCGTACCTAATGTCACAGTCTCTCTCATCTGTGCATGAAGAGTGATGTTTTCTCTAGAAGCAAAACCACTACCAAGTAAGGCATTGAGCTTATTTTGCAAGATATGATTCAACGCTAGTGTCTTTTATGTGATCTTCAATCTCTGAAAAAACGTCAGATTTCAATCCGATAAAGTTAGGTCCTTTTTCAATTTGTAAATCATTGCATTTCCTTCTGTGTATGAAATCATGCGAAGAAATTTGTTATCCATGAAAAAAATCAGAAATCAATTGAAGATAGGGCACTTACTTCTTGGTCTTGCTTAAATACGAGACTTCCCACTTTCTAATCTTTATTTTTTTTCTACCATCAACATTACTCTTAATATCCTGACTGGCATACACACACTGCTAAATAATGAGGTATCCTAGACGGAATTTTCCGTCTAGGATACCCAGAATTCCGTCTAGGATGCGTATCCTAGACGGAATTCCGTCTAGAATACGCGTCTAGTTTGTTTCCGTCTAGAATGTAGTATTCTAGACGGAAATTCCGTCTAGAATACATCCTAGACGGAATATTCTAGACGGAATTCAAAACCGTCTAGAATACATCCTAGACGGATTATTCTAGACGGAATTTCCGTCTAGAATAATTCATCCTAGACGGAAAAAAATTCCGTCTAGAATAAGTATTCTAGACGGGATTTCCGTCTAGAATACTCATTCTAGACGGAAATTAATTTTTTAAATTTTTTTAATTTTTATTTTTTAAAAAGGCATCCTAGACGGAATTTGAGCATCCTAGACGGAATTTCCGTCTAGGATGCTATGCTACAGTATTTTTTTTTTTTTTTTGTCATATGAATTCAAGAAATAGGAATACTCGGTGACTGCACATTGACATCCTATAAGGTAATTTTGTTCTGTTGGCATGAAGAACATGCTGCACTCTTGGGAGACTGAAGTAGAGTCTCCTCTCATAACTCATACAAACATCAACCCCGACGCTAATATGAGTAGCCTGAAATCATGAAAACCAGTATAATCACTGACCCAAAAACTTGAATAATCATTTAAATAAAGAAAATAGTTCAGCCCTAACTTGAAGAAAATATTATCATGAAAACCAGTATAATAATATTGAAGAATGCATATAACTTCAATGAAGAGAAAAACCTTATTCTGCCTGTTATCCCACCAATCAACCGGATTAGCAAAGAAAGCCTGCCAAAGCTTCTCAGTTGAACCAGAAGAATTGCCCCCATAGTTTTGAAATTTCCCCTCTGTAGTACACATATGCAACTTACATACTAGAACTTTGTGAAGAAATATCATAATTTACAATGTTGGGTTAGAGCAATAGAGATATGAGTACCTGAACTCACTGAGTTTGACTCCGGGTTATACAATGACACTGCAGGGTAGGTCTTCTCAATAAAATTCAACTTCTGAACAACTACCTGCAACAATATACATGCCCCTTCAGAATCACAAATACTGTAACTGGCAGTAACGTGAGTAACCTAATAGCTAAACTCATGGAAGTGAATAAAAAACAAACCTTGTAATAAACCTGTGTTTTCTCATCGTCCCCCTGCACAGTATCAGACACGAGACGTCCTGAAACGTATATTTGCTGGCCTTTCTCAACATGCTGAAAAGCTACATGAGCTAGCTCATCCCAGAATGTTAAATTGACCCTGCAGCAGAGAAGACCAATACCAACACAAGATCATTGCCAATTTTCCATCGAGGACTATTAAAAATACGACATTTAGAATTCAAACTATCCACAGACTGAAGAAATTGTACATAAACTCATTGATTTCTCAAGTCGCCAACAGTAATAAATTCCTTCTTCCTTCAAGATCATAAAACAATCCACATTACTAGCCTAATTTCAATGCAATGTTACAAGTTTAAGCTGTGATTACCTCAGCCCAATCCATAACAAAAGGATGATTGTTCTAACAGTTCGATCATTTTCCAAGGTTGTTCTTTAGTATAATTTTCATCATAATACCAGTAAATGCAAACATGCTTTAACTGCAGTTATAGTTCAAGCTGAAATGAGAGTATGCTTTAACAAGGTTATTGAGCAAACAGAGTTCAGTTTCTAGAAACATAAAGTGTAAAGAATTTAATACCTATGCATCCCAAACAGTGGTGCCAAGATGCTTGGAATTTGGGTCCTGCACTATGGCAAACTGAGCAATGAGAGTATGCTTTAACAAGGTTATTGAGCAAACAGAGTTCAGTTTCTAGAAACATAAAGTGTAAAGAATTTAATACCTGTATTTTAAAAGTATCCTTTCATGAAAGAAAAAAAAAACATTCAGCAAAATAATGTTGCAATTGCTATATGAACTTTAGCCCCACTTTGAGACATTTTTTCTTTTTCTTTTAAACAAGAAACTAAGCAGAGGCAGATTAACTGAAGTTAATGGCTAAATTTGAAATTTAACTGACTACTATCAGATAGATGGTAGCATGAAATTTTCCAGTAGTAATATGATCACTTGATATTCCTCATCAAAGAAATTATAATGACAACCCAACAAAGCCCATATCTCAATATTTATCAAAACACAACACATACTGGATCTAACAATTGCTGGCAATGTTTAGCATTTATCAATCAATTTCAAACAAACACATTGTGACTTGATTCCAGAATCCACGCTCTGCAACTTAAAAAAACCCAAATTTTAGGGTTAGGGTTAGGATTTGGTACCTCTCGAGGCGGCGGCTGAGAGAATGAGAAATTGACTTGGACTGGATCGTGAGCTTGACGTCATCGGGATCCATGACGGGTTTTCCCGCGTGATCGGAGTAGACTTGGGCGTCGGTGAGGACGTCGACGATGTAGCGGTAGCAGAGCTCGAGGAACTGGTGGACGACATGTGGCTCGTACTCAACACGTGGCTTGTCGGAGGAGCTCTCTGAACACACGCGCGTCACGTGGCTCGTCGGAGTCCGAGGTGGTGGTCCCGGCGACCCCGCCGTCGCTGCTGGGTTCTGGTTCCATTGTCTTGGCTCCCTCTTTGGCTTTGGAGCGGTTATGAGGAGGGAGAGGGAGAGGAAGGGGAGGCGGTGGAGGGAGGAGTCTGGGGTGAGGTTGAGGATGGAGAGGGAGAGGAGGGGGAGGCGGTGGAGGGAGGAGCAGGAGCTTGGAGTTGAAGATTTGGGGGATGAGGCGGGTGTTCCTGAAAATTTAGATTTTAGGGACGAAAATTCCGATTTTGGGGGGAAAGGAGTGGGGTTTTGACGGGCTTATTTTTTTAAAATGGTCAGTTATTCTAGACGGAAATTTCCGTCTAGGATACTATTCTAGATGGAAATTTTCGTCTAGAATATCTGGTTTTTTTAAAAAAAATTAAAAAATAAAGAAACCGTCTAGGATACTATTCTAGACGGAATTTTCCGTCTATAATGTTTTATCCTAGACGGAATATTCTAGACGGAATATTTCCGTCTAGTTTAATACATTCTAGACGGAAAAAATTCCGTCTAGAATATTCCGTCTAGAATACGTGATTTTCTACTAGTGATGGCTGCAGTCTAAGGTGAACCCAGAGATATCAAACCTTCCATGCACCCACAGTGTGCAACAACAAGTTTCACCAATCACAGTAATACCCTCTAGTGGAATCAAAGTAAAATGTAGGTACAAAACAGGTAAAAGAAAAGAAATAACTACAACAGACATGATTTAGAAAGGAGTACCTCATAAATAAATCATGTCTCTATGAACAATCTGGAATACATCCGACATCCAAAATAAATAAATATGTCTCGACATGAAATAGATGAAAATGTACCTAAGGCTCATAGCCTTTACAAAATGTGATACAAAACTCTAATGTGTGAATGGAAATAACTCTATTGTGGATTCTCTACTAGTAACTCATGTGACGGCGACTATGCAATAACTCTGTCATCCTGCGGCCCTCTGATAGTCTAAGCCACCTGAAAGTTAAAATAAAATAAAAAAGGACAACAACAAGAGCGTCAGAGCGCTAGCAAGATTACCTCCATCCGTCCCCGGGGAAGGGCTACTAAATGAAGTGGAGGCTCTATTTATTAAGCATAGCCTACCTAGATCATTTTCACCGTATATCAGGAAAATACTTGTAATACATACATATAAGCAATCATCTACTCTGAAATAAATGGATGTTTATATTTAGAAATCCACAACACGAGCATAGGTATGTCGAATATCACGTTAGCTCAAATTGTGAATAGCTAAATACCAAATCCAAAAGCTACTACATGGAGCAATAAGAAAATACAACTCCATCTCAAACCATATCAAACGTGTCCTGACAGATATCAAATACGTGTCCAACACATGGACTTTACCTACTACATATTAGATAAGACAACTCGAATAAGTGTCCAACACATGGACTATATATGATGAATGTCCAACACATGGACTGCAAAAGATAAATATCCAACACGAGGACAGCATATAATTAAGGTCCAACCCATGGGCCATAATAGGTAAATGTCCAAGACGAGGACTGCATATGATTAAGGTCCAACACATGGGCCACAATAGGTAAATATCTAACACGAGTACTGCATATGATTAAGCTCTAACACATGGGTCGCAATAGATAAATGTCCAACACAAGGACTGCATATGATTAAGGTCCAACACATGGACCACAATAGATAAATGTCTAATACGAGGACTGCATATGATGAACGTAATACAAATAAATGATGTAAGTAAAATGCATATATACTATTCACACTCGTGCCTCGGTGAGTGAATCCTAAACTCATGTCCATAATCAACTCATGTGTAGAATACAAAATTTACAGTGTATTAAAATATCAGATAACCCAGACAACTCGTCGGTCACACAAACACATGTATAAACAACATGCACATGCACAAACAGGTCCAGCGATCGACCACCGCGACCACCACGGTCGACCGTGAAATGAGCAGAAAGATATTGCACAAAATATCACCCAACGATCGACCGCTGCATCCACCGTGGTTAACCATGCAGAAATAGAGAGCTTCCTGCATAAAAACGTCACCCAGCGGTCGACCGCACCGTCCACACAGAAGCATAACAGGTTTTCAGGTTTTGAACTTGCAAAAATTTTAACTCACCAAAAATATAAATTTTGTCATTTATAAATCATATGACAAGATGAAAACTTTATTTCTACATATCAGAAAATAAATCATATGACAAGATGAAAACTTTATTTCTACATATCAGAAAAATATCTCATGATTTACTTAAACTTGATTTAACCTAATCAAGTTTAACAACCCAAATAATCAAATTCTTTACAAGAATCCTAGTTATCGACAAAATTAACATAAATATACTTGCATAAAACTTGAAACCGATGTAACAATTATTTTTTCACATTTTCAAATCTTGTTTTACCCCAAACCTAGGGTTTTAAGCATCTCTAATCAACATAAAATATCATTTAATTACCAAATTAAGGTTTAAACATGGTTTAATCATGATTAATAAATTAAAAACAAAATTATGAATAACCCTAATGATCATGATCATATTCTATCATAAACAACAAGGAATTATTATAGATCTATCGTGGCTTAAAGAATTATCATCAAAAATCTAAACTTTATCATGTCAGGTTAAACTTTACCATGAAAAACATCACTTTAACCATTAAAAGTCTAATCTTTATTAAGGGAAGGGTTTAGATACAGACAATCTTGCCTTATCATGTGCACAACCCCCTGAAACAATCAGCAAATGATCCCTCAATGCCAAACGCCACAAATCTCGCCTTCTCCTCGCTTTTCGCCTCATGAAACTCTCCCGAGAACTCAAGTTTAGGGATAGGGTTTGAGAGATGAGGAGAAGGGCTGCTAGGGTTTGGAACACAGAAGAAAAGTGGTATTTTTCGTGTATAAACATGTATATATATGGCAGTAAACTCGAATAAATATAGCCCAAAACCCGAAACCCGAAACCCGAAACTGGAAACTTAGTCTGACTAGAAACATACTCTTCGGTATTTTAGCTGTAACTTTCGTATTCGACCTCAGAATAAGGTGATTAAAGTTTTGTTGGAAAGATGCTGAAGAGACCTACAACTTTGGTCTTTTAAGTTTTTCCATATTCACATTATATCAGTGTGTAAAATACAAAATCTCTCCACTAGTCATTATTTTTTTCCAGATTTATACATCATGCATGTTTTGTGCATTTGCACTCATTATTTGCGTCAAAAGTTGCTGTTTTCATTGCTATCGAATCTATTATAACTTTAGTCGTTACAATAAACTTGAATAAAATAAAAAGTTGATCTTTTTATAAGATCTCCTTACACAATGAAAATAAAAAAAAAGTTTATAACTTTATCAAACAAACGCAGAGATCGTTTATCGGTCTTCTGCTTGTGTGGGATCTTTGCCTGTGCCGGGGTTTATCCATGGACGACCGTCGATCTGGATCCGGTTAATGGAAAATTCAGCAGAGCTTCGTCTTCACCGAGGTTGTGTTCTATTTGAAGCGCTGAGAACGACCAAGCGAAATAAGAACTCTTCTCGAGATTAAGACCAAGCCTAATCTCGAGGAATGGACGGGAACGGGCGTCGGATCTCTCGAACTCTCCTTTTTTTGCCGAAGAACTCGCCAAGATCTGTCAACTCTCGCTGAAATTCGTGCTCCTTTGACTCCTCAATCCGACAGCACCTCCTCCTCTTGATAATTAATCCCCCCTTGAAATAAGCCCCCGAGCTCGTATTTATAGGCTTCGATTGGGGGGGGGGTTAGATGAGAATGAATGATTCGTCCATATCTTCAGTTAATAACTGATTAACCATGTTAGGGGATGATATCAAGTCAGTTAGGAACCTCAAGAACGACCAAATCCTGAGAAAAACCGTCAAAAAACCGAACTGAGGTCGAAACAGCGCGCGCGAGACAAATCTGACCCGCGCTTGCGCGGGTCAGATTGGATCCGACCCGCGGTTACTGTAGCACGAGCCGAAAAACCCGACCGTGGTACTGTAGCAAAATTCCGACCCACGGTGCTGTAGCAGAATTTCGACCCCGCGATATTGTAGCAGAATCCCGACCCGTGGGTATTGTAGCAGAATTCCGACAGGTGCTCCGCCTTTTGTAAACAACGCGGGGCTCCCGATCAGCTCTCGTTTCCGTTATTCCGAAGTTCCGTTGCTTCGTATGACCCATCGACTCACTTCATGTGTTTGTCATTGTCAAACGAGCTCCTGTGACTCTAATAGCAACGTTTATCATTTTCTCTTTGTCTCGAGCCGTGTGCGGACACCCATATGCATTTTTAGACGCCTATACTCATATATACATATATACGTTGAATTGATCTAAAAATAAATTCCTAGTATACGCAAACATCACAATATGTCATTTTTCAACGTATAACAAATTTATTATTATTTATCATAAAATATTCAAATTTTCGGGGTTTTGCAACCTATGAGCTTAAAGCTCTTACCCACACTCGTTTTAACACTCATCCACTTCCAGAAAAGATTTTTACCTATAAACTTAAAGTTTTAAACCCAATAATTTTTACACTCATCAATCACTCTTCAACGGTAAATATTTCGCCGAAAGTTCAACTTCCATTGTTAAAGTCATCCACTTTCTAAAAGGTTTATTGCCTATAAACCCAAAGTTTTACCCCCATTTATTTTAAAACCACACACTTCCAAAATCAATCTTAACCTTAAAAGAAAAACCTCCATTAGATTAATTATAAACATACTTTGTATTAAAATAATCATGTAGGTAATTTGTTATATTTTT